GTCTGTTGGTTTAAAGTTGCAAGGGAAACCATGGCCGTATGGTTTTCTAATTGTAAAGCTTGCTAACTAAGCTATGTTGTTGTTGAAATCAATTTACCAAATTAATGTAAATGTTTGATGTTAAACTTTGATTCTGTTAATAAATGACCGCATTCATTTGATGGGTCAAAGAAAATTAACGTCTCACGTTACATTTAATTATTCAATGCACGATAGAATTCAGTCCAGAAAAATGAAAGAATCCGTTTAATTTATGGATAATATATCACTGTATATGTTCATCTACATAAATAAAGTGGTATGGTATGGTATGGTAGTCACGATTTTAGCCATCCTGTATTTACATACAGATATAATAAGATTTTTTATTCTTTCTGCTGCCTTTCATTTTAAATCTCTTGTATTTTTTTATATTGTTATGGAATTGTTTTGTACTTTTTTAAAATGAATAAATTTTATACCATACCATACATACTCAATGAGAAAGAAATGTATCATTGTTCTTATATTTTTATTGTCTGGTGATATTGAACTTAATCCTGGCCCAAATAATGTTTGTTTTAAAACTCCAAGTGATTTTAAATCTAGATCAGGTCTTGGAGTTATTCACCTTAATGTTAGGAGTTTGCTACCCAAACTAGATCAAGTAAAAATTTGGGCCAGTTCTTCTGACACTGACATACTGGTTGTGTCAGAAACTTGGCTAAAGAAATCCATTACAGACAGAGAGATTGCCTTCAAAGGTTACAATGTATTTCGATGTGATCGTCCTAAAAAAGGTGGTGGCATTGCGATATATGTCAAGCAGAAATTTCATGTTACTGTTCAGTCGTGTCTTTCCTTAAGTAGATAGTTTGAATATCTTGCCTTGAAGTTGGAACTTTTTCAGGGCCACTTTATCACAGTTGCGGGGTGTTATAGGCCACCATCAGCTAATAGTGAGACCATGTCAGCCTTAAATTATCAGCTCTCAAATTTAGCTTTTAGTGAGATCATTTTAGTGAGATCATTTTTACAGGAGACTTGAATTGGGACTGGCTATCTTCCGTCTCTGCTGGTTTTAAATCTGTTTGTGATGGTCTTAATTTTAATGAGGCAACATGCCCAAACCTTAAATTTCCAGAAAAATCCTCTCTTCTTGATTTGTTTTTAACTAATTTACCATATAAATATTCAAATGTTGGAGTATTTGCAAATGATATAAGTGACCATTGTGCTATAGCCATCTTCAGAGACGCTAAACTCATGAAATCAAGCCCTCGTTTGATTCTGAAAAGGGATATAAAACATTTTTGTGAGCAAACTTTCCATCATGATTTATGGCTGTTTGATTGGTCAAGAATATCGCTGTTTGATGATATAGAATTGGCCTGGAAATATCTTTATGATGCTTTTAACTTTTTTATTAATAAACATGCCCCTCTTCGTACATTTCGAGTAAAGGGTAGAAATAATCCCTGGTTCATGGCTGAGCTGTCTAATTTGTTAAAAGATCGAGATAATGCTTGGGCCAAGGCCATGCATTCTAAAAATCAAAATGTTGGTATTCAAGAAATTGAGAAATTGCTTTACTTCCCTTGTTAAAAAGGCAAAATCCCAGTTTTATATTGATAAAACTACTCAAAATTTAAATGATCCAAAGAAATTTTGGAAAGTGATTAAATCCTCATTCGGAGATGAAATATCTAGCGATTTACCTACTTGTATTATTAAGGGTTCACAAAACATAACTGACAATGGAGCTATTCTTAACTGTTTGAATGAACATTTCATTTCCTCAGGATCCTTGTTTGAATCATTGCTTCTACAAAGGCTAAGGTTGTTTTCACATCAGATAGTCCGGTAGACTCGGTTCGTTTGGGGACCAATATTCATGACCTTTTGTTACATTTGAGCTGGTGCGTTTGCATTCACACTGCACTGTGCAGTTGAGCCAACCTGTTGAACCAACCTATTCCTCCGCTCGCCTGTGGGGGCGCTGCACCAAGAACTACTGAAAGAAACAACACAAAAACCTCTGAAGACTCTTCTTCTTCTGTAAATAAAAATAAAAACGAAGTGGCATCAAGTTTTAGCAGTTTTAGGAGTTATATTTTGTCATTTTTCAAAAATGGACTTAGCATGAGCAGAAGATGAGACTGAAGACCATGGAGAATATTGTTTTCCACACAAATCAGCTGACTGCTCCATATGAGGTCAGAGAAGTGCGTGTTTGTTTGTCCTGTGGAGCGGAGCCCGGTCTGTTTACATTCACACTGTACTCGAACCGCGCTGGAGTTCGCTTCTACCGGACCGAGACCTAGGTTTTATCTCCGGCCAGAGTTCACTTTTTTGTTCCGTGACAGAGTTTGATGGCGCGTTCACACCTTCCTAAACGAACCAAACTTTCTAGGAAAACGAGCTAGAGTTCGATTAAAGCGGACAGGGCTGGTGTGAATGCACCTTAAATGTGCAAGAAGATTTCTCTCAAGCACACTTGAGTGATTCAGTTCAAGGATTTAGTTTTGCCCCTTTTGATGTAACTGAAGTTCATAGAACTTTACAACAATGAGATTCTTGTAAATCTGCTGAACCTGACAACCTCAAGCCCTTTTTTTGAGGGCAGCTGCAGACTTTATAGCAGAACCTCTATGTTACATCTTTAACTTAACTCTTGCTGAAAATAAGATTCCCTGGATATGGAAATCTGCCTATGTCCTTCCCTTGTTAAAAGGTGGCAATCCATCTGTAGTCAACAACAACAGACCGATGGCTTACTCTCACAACTCACAACCAGACTCTGACTGGCTTACTCTCACAACACCAATCAGGTTTTCAAAAAAAGCACAGTACAACAACTGCTGCTCTTAAAGTGGTAAATTACATTATAGATGCCCTAGATGGCCAAAAATATTGTGCAACTCTTTTTGTTGACCTTTCTAAAGCATTTGACACTGTAGATCATGTCATCCTGATGAATCGACTACAAAATGTGGGTTATCTGTCCAGGCTAACTGGTTCTCCAACTATTTATCTGATAGAACTCAATGTGTCCAAGCAGCTGGGTCTTGTTCCTCCGTCCTTCCTATTTTAAAGGGAGTGCCTCAAGGCTCCTTACTAAGTCCTTTGTTGTTCACAATTTATGTAAACAATTTGTGCGATAACTTGCCCGATGCTAAAGCTCATCTATATGCTGATGACACAGTTATTTATTGTTCATCATCTTCAGTTTCACAATAATTTAAACTGCTGCAATCTGCATTTGATACTGTTCAGTCCCGTCTGGCTGGGCTTAAGCTGGTTTTGAATGCAGAAAAATCAAAAGCTATGCAATTTTCAAATGGTAAGCAGCTTCCACCTATCCTCCCCAGCTTGTTAACTGTTCAAGGGGCTGAAATTGAAGTTGTCAGGTGCTACAAATATTTAGGTATTCTGATTGATGAGAATCTAACCTTTAAATCTCATATTGATAAACTGGTTTCTAAACTAAAACTTAAATTGGATTTCTTTTTTAGAAACAAAAAGTGTTTCTCACACCAAGTCAGAAGGCACCTGATTGTTTCAGCTATTCTGCCCCTGGTGGATTATGGAGATCTGCTATTTATGAACTCTTCAGCCCAGGTTTTGAAAAACATGGATGCTGTATATCATCGTGCCCTCCGTTTTATGACTGACTGTGGCTATCGAAAACATCACTGCACTTTGTATGCTACAGCAAAATGTCCATCTTTGACTGACCACAGACTTTCTCACTTGTTGGTTTTTGTCTATAAATGCATCCTTGGGCATCTTCCTACATATTTATGTTCACTTTTATCTAGAACTTTTAACCATTATAGTCTGCACTCACAGGACATTATTTTGATGCAGGTCCCAAAGGTCAGAACTGAAGTGGGTAAAAAGGCTTTTAAATATTTCGCCCCTGCCACTTGGAATATTCTGCAGAAGGATTTAAGGTTATCATCTCTTGTTACGTTGGGACAATTTAAATCAATTCTAAAGGAACGAGAGCTCAGATCACTTGGCTCCTGTAACTGCTCTAATGTGTAATTATTGAGATTTCTCCTGGATATGTATTTTGTGTATTTGGTTTAGTATTTTGGATTTGTTATATGTTTTATGCTGTTTCTTGGCCAGGTCACTCTTAGAAAAGAGGTTTTTAATCTCAATGAGTTATTTTTCCTGGTTAAATAAAGGATACACACATATATACATGCTCCCTTCACTCCAAGACACGCCTCCCTTTTCTCACAGCAATCAGCCCTGCTTCAGCTCATCTGGTTCACCTGCTCTGCACCCTTGATAATCTCCATTCTCCCTCTCCACAAGTGCCACATTATTACACCACTCATGGTCCCTGATAGTGAAGCCTTTAATCATAGTATCTTGTATCCTTGCCTTGAACCCTCGCCTGTTTTTTTGACTCCTTGCCTTGCCCCTTTCTGGATTTGTCTGCATATCTGACCACTGTAATGACTCTTGCTCTCCCTTTGACTACTCTTTTGGATCATGGCTCGGCCCTGTTCTTGCTTCTCTGCTTCAACGTGCTTGACCCCTGCTACGACCATCGGACCACGCCTCTGGATTTCACTTGCCACGTACAGACTGAAAATATTGGCCTTGGACCCTGACTCCAGCAACCAGCAGACTAATTAACAAAAACTGTTCTTGTTTTTGCACTCCTGTGTCTGGCTTATTCAGAATCCAAAAACCCGTTCTTGACGTATTCACATTTTAATTGTACTGTTTGTCCTTTTTTTTTTAAGTTTCACCCTTTTGAATGTCATTAAACCTGCTGACAACGGTGTTTGGTCTCCAGAGTTGTGATATGAGAAAGGTGTTAAATAGCCTTTGCATCAGACATGCACCAGTAACGGCACAATACCTGATAAAGTAAATGGCCTCTGGAACACATCATAGTGGCTGTACTTATTGTTCTGTCTCTGTCTTTCAGTGATGTCAGAGTCTGCAGGACACTCGTCTTCTGTCTCATCAGTTTCGTCTATCTCTCTGGTGGAGATCAAGGCTGAAACTCATCTCGTCCTCCAGGCTTTCCTTGAACAAACTCTTTCCACTCCCCACAAAGACAGACCAGGTAGAGTGGGTGGAGCATATGATGACCAAAACAAGTACAGGTAATCTTGCTCACTTCTCTGGTCTTCTTCTAGTTTGCTTTAGTGAGTGTGTCTGTCTTTAACAACAACAACCTGTTTTCTCTTCTGACCACAGATTGGAAGAATGTGTTGAATCAGTTCTATAATTTATTTAATGACTGTCATGTTTGGACTGTATGTGTGTCTTTTGCCTGGAGGAGCAGGTGATACATACTTCATAGTTGGTTTTTCAGTAAAACAAGAACCCAACGCAAATAAATCAGGTTTTGCACACGCGGCAGTCCTAAACTGGTTCCGCATGCTCGGGGCGCGCGCACCTTCCCTCAGCGCACGACAGCTCACATCAACACGGATATGAGCCCGCAGTCTGTGCGCGGCATAGGAACGCAGCGCACCCGCGGCAGTCCTAAACCGGTTCTGCATGCTCGGGGCACGCGCACCTTCCCTCAGCGCATGCCAGCTCACATCAACACGGATGTGAGCCCGCAGCCTGTGCATGGCATAGGAACGCCGAGCACCCACTGCAGTCCTAAACCGGTTCTGCATGCTCGGGGCGCATGCACCTTCCCTCAGCGCACGCCAGCTCACATCAGCACGGATGTGAGCCCGCAGCCTGAGTGAGACACACATGACGTGTTGATTGGCGTCCGTAAATAATGTGACGCAGCATAAATGCGTGCCTGCTTCCCGAACGTTACGCGGAGTGGCAGCGAGCGTACGCTCCAGATAGATGGATGAACCGTTATCAGCAGGAGATTCACGCTGCAGTACTGCTCAAATCCCCATTCGGAGGAACTTTAGAGAGGTTTTCTGTCATCTCTAGAACAGATCTCGTCTCCCCTTGCAGAAGCTCAGGCAATTCTGATTAAAAATGTAATTTCCAGGGTCCAAGAAGGAGATGAAAACACAGGGTTCCACTCCCTTCACTTCTTGGTCCCAAACGGACCGGAAGGATGAGATTCATTTTAGATTTGTCAATTTTGAACTGTGAGACAACATTTCCATTCAAAATGTGTCGAGTCGCTCTGCAACCGCCACACAACACAGGGAGGAGAATTCTGCTTTACCTGGACGGTCTGTTGATGCTGACCCGCTTTTCCAGACAGGTGGCAGCAGTGCAACTCACGTAAAACCAGCAGAGTGATAACAGCCATTTCTATCAGCAGACTTGCGTCACACGTGTCAGACTTCACAGAGGCACATACATTTCTTGAGCTGTGGGGGCGCTGTGGCCACCCCACACAGCAACTCATACAAATGTTTTTGGAGTGTCATGGTTTTTGAATGTGATTCAACACTTTGCCTCTGTGCTGCGGAATCATCATGTGTTGATTCACACAGAAAGCAAGTGATTGTTGCATACATAACCGGCAGGTGGGGTGTGCGCTCAGCCCAAATGTTACACATTGTGAGACAGCTGCTGTGTTGTGCACACCAAAATCTGCTCTCCATCAGAGCAGTGTACATCCCCGGTGTTCTGAACAGGGGGCGGATGTGATGTCCAGGGACGGTCCGCGTCACGGAGACTGGAACCTCCATCCAGAGCTGATGGCTCAGACGTGGCAGAAATTTAGCAAAGGGGCTATGGACCTTTTTGCAACACGAGAGAACGCTCAATGTCAACTATGGTTCTCACTGAGCCCGTGAGACGAACCACTGCTAGGGGTGGACGGGTTTGCTCACAGCCTGTGGCCCAAAATGCTTCTTTACGCACTTCCCCCACTCCCTCTGATATCACGGTTTCTGAACCGGGTTCAGGAGGAGGGACTGACAGTCCTCCTGGTGGCTCCCGAGCGCGTTAATGCCCTATGGTTCCCAGTTCTACGACACCTGTTATCGGGGCACCCGTGGAAACTGCCATAGAGGGACGATGCTCTTCTCCAGGCGAGAGGAGCGATCAAGAGTTACCCAGAAATAGGCCAGTACCTTTGGGTCTGGCCGATGAGCGGATCCGCTTAGAGAGGATGGGTCTCTCTCGAGATGTAGTGCGTACGATCCATGATTCACGTGCTGCATCCACCACAGCGCTGTACACATCAAAGTGGACAGTTTTTTCAGCGCTGCTGTATGGAGAAAGGTGTAGAGGCCACTTCATGTCCACTAGGTGGCGTGTTGTCCTTTCTGCAGCAGCTGATGGACAGAAATTTGGCATTCAGCACGATTAAAATGTACGCTGCAGCCATCTCTTCTTGTCACAAAGGTTTTTGGGGACAGAACAGCTTTTAATCATCCTCTGATGAAGCGTTTTTTAAAAGGTGTACAGAGACGCAGGCCTGTTTTCACGCCCACTTGCTCTACAGTGGGATTTAACACTGGTCTTGCGAGCCCTTATCAAAGCTCCGTTCGAGCCACTAGATCAGTTTCCCATGAAATTCTTGTTTTTTTAAAAGAGCCCTGCTGCTGGCTTTAGCATCCGCTAAGAGGGTGAGTGATTTTATCTGCCCTCTCTGTCGCTTCGTCATGTCTCAGAGCTAGGCTGATGGCAGCTCAGCTGATCTGAGGCCTAATCCAGCGTTTTATGCCTAAAACATCACAAGCTCTTTAAATCAAGAGCGATTTTGTTGGAGGGATTTCTTCCCTCCTCCCCACAATCAGAAGAAGAAGCATCTTTCCATCTTCTCTGCCCTGTATGTGCGTTGACGTGTTACGTAACACGCACAGCGGCATTGCGTCAGACTCAACATTTGTTTGTGCACTATAGAGCCGCATCTGCAGATCGCCTGTTATCCACCCAGCGCCTGTCACACTGGCTGTGTGAGGCCATTTCTGAAGCCTACAGAGCATCAGATTTAGAGCCTCCTGACAACCTCAGGGCGCACTCGACCAGAGGTATCGCATCTTTGACTGCTTTGCATAATGGTGTGTCAATGCAGGATATTTGCACTGCGACCGTTTGGTCAACATCCTGTTCATTTATTCACTTCTATTTACGTGATGTGTCGGCTCGTTCCTTGACACATTCTGTCCTTAGTGCCTTAACAGAACGAATATTGTTGTTTCATGGAATCTCGTTTAAACTCACATCTGACTGCATGCATTTACAGTGTGAGATGTTATCAGTCACAGGTTATGACTGTTGTTCTTGTTCTATGGTCACTAATCAGTTCATGACTTCTGTCATCAATCAGTTCATTGATTAATAATCAGTTCATTTATTATTAATCTGTTCATATTGAAGAGCCGTGGATCTGCTCTGTTCACGGCCTTTTTCAGCCTCTCCTCTTTTCTGTTGAAAACCTTTTCGGGGCGTTCATGCACTCTGAACGCGTAAATTATGCAGTGCGCATCTGTGCATGGTGCACTTAATTACGCAATGCGTATTTACGCACATGGAGAGCTGAGTGACAAGATGTTGTTTTTGGGCAAGCGTGCGCTTCTTATGGTGTTCGAATGGACCCAGTGAGGCGGAGACTAAATCTGCTTCGCCCTTAACGCACCAGCGACAGCCTTAAAGGGCGAAGCCTATACGAAATAGAATGTTGGTTACGTGTTGTAACCCCAGATTCTATGAGTATAGGCGTATCCCTTTAAGCGTCGGGATTCACTGGCTCCTAAATGGCTGAAGAAAAAGCTATTTGGGAGCCGATTACCCGCTCTTAATGTAATTTATACGGACCGGGTGGGGCCCACACAACAGGTGGGCGTGGACTAAATTTTTTCAGTGCGATGCTTTGTATGACGGGATAAAACCCACCAGTGACAGCCTTAAAGGGCTACGCCTATACTCATAGAATCTGGGGTTACAGTACATAACCAACGTTTTAAGTGGGATTTAAAAACTGTGAGGGAGGGGGCCTGCCTGACATGTAGAGGTAACTTGTTCCAAAGTCTTGGGCCTGTGAGAGAGAAGGCCCTGTCAACTCTGCGCTTAAGACGGGTTCCTGGAACTGAGAGAAGCAACTGGTCCGCTGACCTCAGAGAACGCGGTGGGACATACGGCTGCAATAGATCAGTGAGATAGGAGGGTACAGAACTGTTCAGTGATTTATAGACATACAAGAGTATTTTGAACAGGATATGAAAGTGAACCGGTAGCCAGTGCACGGAGGCCAAAACAGGTGTAATGTGCTCTTTTACTTGAACTGGTTAAAAATCGGGCTGCTGCATTTTGGACCAGTTCCAGTCATGCAATGGAGGTCTGACTGATACCAAACAGGAGTGAGTTGCAGCAATCAAACCTAGATGTTATGAATGCATGTATTACTGACTTAGTTCTGACCTATGGTATAGAGATTAAGGACTTAGTAATACAGGTCCTTCTCAAAAAATTAGCATATTGTGATAAAGGTCATTATTTTCCACAATGTAATAATAAAAATGAAACTTTCATATATTTCAGATTCATTGCACACCAACTAGAGGCAGCACGGTGGCGCAACTGGTAGAGCTGCTGCCTCTCAGCTAGCAGGTCCCTGGTTCAAACCCCGGTCCAGGGGCCTTTCTGGGTGGAGTTTGCATGTTCTCTCCGTGCATGCGTGGGTTTTCTCCGGGCACTCCGGTTTCCTCCCACAGTCCAAAAACATGCATGTTAGGCTGATTGGTAACTCTAAATTGTCCTTAGGTGTGAGTGAGAGAGTGAATGGTTGTTTGTCTCGTTTGTCTCTATGTGGCCCTGTGATGGACTTGCGACCCGTCCAGGGTGTACCCCGCCCCTCGCACAGTGATTGCTGGACATGGGCACCAGCGACCCCCGTGACCCAAAATGGAATAAGCGGGTAAAGAAAATGGATGGATGGATGCACACCAACTGAAATATTTCAGGTCTTTAATTGTTTTAATACTGATGATTATGACATACAGCTCATGAAAACCCAAAATGCCTGTCCCAAAAAATTAGCATATCATGAAAAGGTTCTCTAAACAAGCTATTAACCTAACCATCTGAATCAACGACGTAACTCTAAACACCTGCAAAAGATTCCTGAGGCTTTTAAAAACTCCCAGCCTTGTTCATTACTCAAAACCGTAATCATGGGTAAGACTGCCGACCTGACTGCTGTCCAGAAGGCCATCATTGACAC